GGTAAGCATCAAATTGTGGCGGTTCTAAGGACCGAGTTGAAGTGGTCCGTCCACCGTCGGGGACTCCATCCCCTCCCCAACATTCAGCATACGGTCCCAGCCGAAGCGCCAAAAGGGCTGGTTTGCTTACGTCCAAGGCGTAGATGTGTGCTCCTTCTCCTTTTTCATTGTTCCGGGCCTTTGGACGTTTAAGGCATCTTCCCCGGGCATATGTGGAAGGGAGGATGGTGGAGGGGGAGGCGTAAGGACAAACGAGTTGCCTTGAATCTCCTACGCTCATCCCTATCGGTCATTATGCTAACAAATATCATCACGAACTACGAAAAGAGCGGCCGTCAAGTTGGCGTCACGCCCCAGAAGTCACCATCGTTTCCAAGCCTAATTGGGCAAACCAAGAAAGAAGGGCTGCTATTCATCGATGTCAACTATTAAGAGCATTTTCAGGATTGGCGAATTTTGCACTGACAATACGGAAGTCCAAAAAGCAAATGCAAATGGTGGGCGTGGTCATGGTTACGGTAGTGATTTTCTTCTCCACTCTTATCTACTTCCTCGAGCGAGACGAACCAGACACGAAATTCAGCAGCATACCTGCTACCTTCTGGTGGTGAGTGCGAAATTACCTTCTGGGATTTCTGGTTGGATCAACACTCTTACAAGCTTCTGGTTCACAGGTGCGTGGTTACGATGGCTACGGTTGGATACGGTGATTTGGTCCCGGTCACGGTCGCAGGAAAACTGGTCGGAACTGGTGCGATAGTATGCGGTGTAATGGTGCTTGCATTACCGATCACGATTATGGTAAGTCTCAAGGGAATCTCTAAAATTCGATCGATATGCATGAAAAGCACTCATTCAAGGTGAACAACTTCATGCAAGTGGTGAAGTTACGGGAAGAGAAAATTGTCAAGAAATATGCTCAACAGCACGGTGATCAAGTCTGAGCTGAGCGCGTGAACAGGTGAGTTTGATGAGTGCTTAGCCTAGTGGCTCTGTGCGACGTTCAACTTAGCCCAGCATACTGGTTCAATTCTCACTGAGAAGTAAAATAATTCTTCAAAGCTTTATTTGCCTCATTTCAGACTGTTCATGGCCGTCGATTGTGCCTTTTGTACTCTTCGACGTTGGTGTGACTGTCGACCTGCACTACAAAACCTCCGACCGACATCGAGTTTTCACTCAACGTCTAGGCTCAACGCTCACACAAACAAGTGCAGGAACTCCGCCCAATGCGGAACGCTCCGCCCATTCGGTAGAGATAGCCCTGTGAAGTGCCAAAATCATATCATGTGGAAATCAGACATAACACAGTTTGTTCTACTCTCCACAACAAACGACATTCTCTTATTGTCTTTGATACTAGTTACCTGTGAAATATATCAATTTTTATGATTTGTTTTCTCTTCGAAGTTCAATTGTTGGACACAATTTTCAATAAAAATTGCTCTTACCATTTTTGGTATAATTTTTGTTTGTTAGCTGCTGTGTTTACGTCGCAGTTCGCATTGCGAATGTTTCACAAGAATGCTGAGTTATTTATAGAACTTCCCCCTCA